GGGAAAAAAAAAAAAAAAAAAAAAAAAAGGAAAATATTCCAGAATAAGGTGATGGGAAACCCACTTCTCTGTTCTTGCCAAGCAAATTATAAGGTTGTGCCCCCAAAGTCACCAGGAATTGAGTTCCTTTGCTTTTACTTAACCATAACTCTTCCTTCACCCCTGTGTTTGCTGTTTTCTAGATTATAGATGAAGATGGTAAGATTTTGCCCTGTGGAGAGGAAGGAGACATTACTATTAGGATACAATCCAAACGCCCCTTTAGCTTCTTCTCTCGCTATGTGGTAAGCACTGAACCAGGGAGTCCTCTTCATCCATCAGAAGGTTCCAAGGAAGCTGTGTGTCAGCTTCACGGGGTAATCCAGATAGGCATCACAACCAGATGAGCTAATTCTACCTTATTGTAAAGCTACATGAACAGATTCTTGCAAGTTTGAACGTACAATTCTCCCCCCGTCTCCTTTACAGCCCGAGAAACTAGGGAGAGTCTCTTCTGAGCTTCTTGCCCCACCCACTGTCCAGCTGTGGGCTATGCTGTCTCTTATCTGACCATTCCCTTGGCAGCATCTCTTGGCCTGTCTCCTAAGGTCTTTCCCACATACCATTACAGGTTATTAGTTTCTTTCCTCATTGTGCAGAAACTGTGGGAAGAGAAGCCCCAACATCCTGGAGACCACCACACTGAGGAGAGTTGCTGTCAACTCATGGGCAGTGGGCCATGGGCAACTTGGGGTTCTCAGGCTGCATGCAAGACCCCACTTCCCATTTGTGATCCTCGCCATCCTGCAACAGGTTTCCCCGAATGCAATGGCATAATTTTTAGGGGGGGGCCAAGTTGTCCTGGTTTCTCTGTCAACATGTAGGATGCAAATAGGAGAAGAAGGCCCCTGCTTGCACTGCCATGCTTAAAACCTCCAGGGCATTGCAAAACTTAGTTTGAAATCGTGCCAGTAGAATCTGGCCATTTTGGTGCTGAAAATGAGCAGCATAATCTTCAGACATTATCACTTGGGACAGGGGATTAAAGGAAGAGATAAAGTGGCTGTCCTCTCAGAGATCCTGCCTCCTCATACTGAACCCCCCAAATGTTGAAAAACGGGAGGAAAAAATGTCTTCTGACCTTCCCTTGACATCACCGGGACCCAAGCAGCAAACTGAGTCCCTCAGACATTGCCCATCTCTGCTGTAAGGAGAAATTCAAGCGCGGCCTTCCCTACACTCTTTAGCACTGGGGTTTCCCACAGGGTGTTAAGCCATGGTTTGTTGAACAAACCATAGTCACCTGGTTCATGTGTCACACTAAGCCATGAATCATAGTTTGCCAGGTACAACAGCTGGGTTGACACAGACAGACATTTCGTAGAAATAACTCAGACAAGCCAAAAACAAACGCACCACGAGAACAACGTAGTGTGATACGCCAATCCAAATCCAGCCAAAATGGCACACCTGTTTTTTCAGGAGCAAAACTTTCAGGTGAGCCTTCATCTCCTTGACTTAATTACCATGGAAGTAATAGAAATATTAGCCCTAACTGAATTATGGACCCTGGGGAAAGAAGATTTAGCCTTTTTCCCAATTCTGCACATTTCGACCACAATCATCTTTTCCCATATTTTGAATTAATACACAGACATTATTTGGTTCATGTCCAGGACCAGCCAGAAAAAACCCAAGCAACTGTCCGGGGAAACTTCTACATCACTGGTGACCGCGGCCGGATGGACGAAGACGGGTATTTGTGGTTTATTGGAAGGTCTGATGACGTCATCATCTCCTCTGGGTTGGTCCATTTCAACATGCATTACAAAAACTGTGAGGGTGGGAAAGCTTCACAAAATCATCATTATCATCACCTGGGCCAAGTCCAGCTCGGTCCTGAAAAACCCTGCTGTTGATCATTGGTTTCCTTCAGTTGTAAATCTTGGCCAACTCCATCTTGGTCATGGTGACTTCTGCTAAACCCCACCTAGCTGAGCAGGGCAAAATCAAGGAACCCAGAATTAGTCAGAGATCCAATAGAATGAAGGGTAAATCAAAAATCTTGGAGAGGGCAAAGAAATGGCCAACCCTTATTGATTAGTGATCTCATTAAGGTGGAGTCTCTTTGATGATGTGAAACGTTTCTTCCCAGTTCCTTGCCATGTGGACCGAGTTGCTAAGATAAACAACTAACAGTCTCCCCTCCAATCTTTTGGTTGTTTATTTCTAACTTTCTTTCGTTCCTCATTTGTTTTTCAATTTCCAGTCTTGGTTTTGGGATCTCTTTTCCATCTAAGTCAGTGTTTCTCAACTTGGCAACTTTAAGATGCGTGGACTTCAACTCCCAGAATTCCCCA